CTATGACTGAAATTGTTTTAATGCTGATTCTGGTTGATATGATTAAAAGTGAAATTGAGACATCAGTGGTACATATAACCACTTTCTGTTAATAAAATGCAGTTCATTGCCAATCCTGGCATGAAACTTAAGTTAGTGCTCAATACATTACTTGTTGGAAGAGACAGAGTGCTTTTATCAGAGAGTTGAAACCGTATTGTTTCTTTTGACTTGCCACATTACTACAATTGTTTGCTGATGGAGCATTTATAACTGCAAATAAGTTTCATCATTGATTTCTATGTACTGGAGTGCTTTTATAGACTTGCTACATTACTAAAACTATTTAAGATGTCTATAGTTCAGGGCTGTTGATTTCATCATTGATTCGCTTCATCAAACATTTTGTTTCTTAGCAAAATACTTCCACAAATGTATTGCTTTAGATGACATGTGAGTCAAGCTGAGCAGGAGTGACAGACTCAATGACATATTTAATGACAGAAGTTAGGGCTGCTGTGTAGTACTTCTATGCTACAAAGTATAAGGGAAGAGTAAGAGAAACTTATTCGAATGGTTAAAGCTTTGGCTGACTTGCAGGACGTTATGAACTTGTACCATCCTACAAGGGTGAGAATACAGTATTTGACGTCTCACCTTCTATTGTATCACTATCAGTTGAGCATCAACTTATAATGATTCCCCAAAAGTTTAGGTAACACACAAGCCCCAACCTCTTATTTTCCTTAGAGAGTTTGTTAAACCAAAACCTTGAAAGCACAAATTGAAAGTTTTCTTATCATGGTCTTTTATAAGGCTGATATATAAGCATCATTTCCTCTTACTATTGATTTCTCTTATGCTTTTTAAGATAGAGCTTTATGCTTTTCTTTGTTCTTGTTCTAAAATATCTCAAATACACATTTGCATCTCTTCATGCACATTTGCTCAAACTTCCACTTATATTTAAAGATATGTTTTGCTAATGTTTTCTTCTTTTTGACATAATTAAGGCACAGGTTACCGTTGTGAGATTGGCTGATACACAT